GTGAACTCATTGTCATGTTCAAGCAACACCAATGCTAAATTCTGACCTACAAATAGGATCAGAAGAAATCAAGACTCAGACCAGACGAGATTTTCCAGTCTTTTCTTGTCCAGTGAAATGCAGCCTCAGTTTTAACAGGAGTGGCACCTGGATTGGTCTTCTGCTGTAGTAGACGATCCACTTAAATGTTTAATATGTTGTGCACTCAGAGATGCTCTTCGGCATATTTTTGTTATAACAAGTGTCTATTTGAGTTACTTTTGGCTTCCTATCAGCTCGAAGAAGTCTGGACATACTCTGACCTCTGGCAAAAAGAAGCAGAGCTGCAGCTCATTGGATATTTTCTCTTTTTCCACTCCATTCCCAGTAAACTCTAGAAATGCCAGCAGATCAGCAGTTTCTGAAATATTCCGACCTATACGTCTGGCACCAACAACAAAGCCATGCTCAAAGTCACTTAAATCATCTTTCTTCCTCATTCTGATGCTCAGTTTGAACATCAAGATTGTATAATCAACCAGTAAACTATCATCCAAAACCAGGCATTTCGTCCTGTATGTTCTAATGTGCTGTAAAGATGATGACTGCAGACTCACCATTCCTCACAGTCCTGATTGCAGAGCTGAATCTGATAAATGTTGCCTTTCTTCAGAGACGCTTTTCCCTCTGCATCCTCTTCAAATGGGATAAAGGTCACTCGTTGTCTACCAAAGTCTGCAGAGAACAAGAGAGAAGGCATTAGAAACAAATAAAACTGATACGACAGTTTGTAGAAGTGAGAAGCTCTTACCTTTCAGAATAATTTCTTTATGCAGGTTTGTCCCATAACAGTTTACTTTGGGAATAAATGTCCTGACGCTGGAGGACCATGGTTTGTCGGCTTCGTGGGCAGCTGAGGCCCCAGTGATCACGAAGAGCAGCACATCTGTGAAGAGTTCAGGATCATGCAGCAGGAGCCGTAGGTCGTCTTGGTCCACATCTTTGCTGTCTGTCTCTTTAACTCCACAAAGACGCTTGTTTACAACATGAGGTTTCTTTATCCACACGTCTACGGCTGACCAGAAGCCATCGGGGAGACTCTTACATCCTCCCGGGAACTTTATATTGAAGAGCTTTGGCATAATTGAGCAAGCGAAGCATGTGTGTTTACAATCACTGAATCAACTTCCGGACAGGAGGTTTTTGGGGCGGTTGCACCGATATATGTTTCCAAGAACAATGAAATCAAAACCGGATCATTTACGATAAATCCTACTTTGGTCCAAAAACCTTTTAAGAGCTTTATTTAAAGGAAAAAGCGAGAGGCGGCTAGAAAAACGCACTACTATGTCGCTGAGTGATGACGTTTACACCAGCGACAAAACTCATCATCTACGCGGCATGCCCAATAGAGGGTGCTGTTTATCTTTGTCTGTAATGACTCTGTAGTCATTCAGGGGTTTAGGGGGATGTTTTTGTTTTGTTTTTTGTTTTACTAAATAGCGAACAAGTCAAATAGAAATCACTATAAGTATAAGAAGATTATTTGTAGCCTTCACTAAAGCTGTTTTTGTACTGTGATGAGCTCTGAAACCTGACCGAAACTCTTCAAATAAACCTTTGCTCTGCCGATGATCAGTATGCTGTTTTACAAGGTTGGAGATTGGCCTAAGAAAGCTAGGTCAACTGATGGCTTTAACTTCTACCAGCTTGGATGTCTGTGGTATAAAGTAAAAGTAATGAACACAGTGTTGGAGTGTTGCACAGCAGCTGTTCTCGTGGTTAGGTTACATCAGGTATAGCAGAGATTAATCAGATTTTTAGCGGATGATGCTTAGATTCATTCACCGAATTCCTCCTTCGTACCAACTTTATAATATCTATTATAAGTTAGTATGAACGGTGTACAGTCAGTGTAGAGGATGGAAATCAGCCGGGACATCCACCGACGTCTTGTTGAATTCAGTTGTGTAAAACCACAAAGAGCAGTAAACCTCAGAGCAGCAGCTGCACAGATCAACTGATCACAGCTTGTGCATTAAGAAAATCTGCTGGCGCTCTCTATAGAACTTATTCTGAGTTGTGAGTTCTTCCCCTTGCTGAACCATTTCAACTGATTTTAGGATTAGTCGACACTAATATATAGATTTCTTCATAAAATTAAGGCACATTATTAAAATAATCTCAGCTCTTC